TTCTTTTCCTCTGTGTAACAGCCCTGACCATCCTGGAACTAACTCTGTAGACCAGGATGGCCTTGAACTCCCAGAGATCTGCCTGCCTCTGCCTCCTGAGTGTTGGGATTAAAGATATTCGCCACCACCACCCGGCCCTCGTCCCTGTTCTTATCTGTGGAGTTCCTACCAAATCTGGGGCTAGCTCTGAGTGAGATCAGAGGGGAGGGAGGCACACTTTGTGTGCTCCTGTGCCACAGAGTGGCTGTTGGTAGACAGTGATCGTCAAGGCCACAGGCTGAAGTTGCCCTGTCACATGGACAAGTGACTTCAGTGCTGTTTTGTCACCTGTAAAGTGAGGATAGGAGAGCCATGCTCTGCAGCGCTGTGAGAGCCTGTGTGGCACCTGGCTCTGTGAGGCTTCTTCCTTGCTACTAATGTCACAATGCCACAGACGAGGCCTGTCTTAAAGAAGATAGGTCTATTTGGGCTCATGATTCTGTTCCGAATCAAGGGCCTGTGTCTGTTGATGACCTTCTTGCTGGCAAAGTCCCTAGGTGGCATATAGTGTCTATCACATGGCACGAGAGGGACCATGTGTGACTGTGTCTCCTCTCTCTTAATTCTTTGTTTTCTTCTTTTTTAAAGACAGGGTCTCTCTGTGTAGCTCTGGCAGGCCTGAAATTGTTATGTAGACCAGGCTGGCCTCAAACTCACAGAGACCTGCCTGCCTCTGCCTCTGGAGAGCTGAGATTAAAGGCATGTGCCACTGTACCTGACATCTCTCATTTCTTATGAAGCCACCAGGACTAACCCCAGTGACCTCCTCAAACCTCCCCCTTAATACTATAGAAGACAGGGTCCCATGTATCCTAGGCTGGCCTCAAACTTGCTATGTATCTGAGCAGGACCTTGAACTTTCAATCCTCCTGCCTCTATCTCCTAAGCTTTGGGATTACCATGTCTGGTTTCATGCAGTGCTGGGGATTGAAGCCAGGGCCTCGTGCATGCCAGGAAAAGCACTCTACCAGTTGAGTTACATCTCTAAACTCCTTTTCTGTTTCTGCGACAGGGTCTCATGTAGTCCAGGTTGGCCTCAAACTCACAACTGTAGCGGGGGATGACCTTGAACTTCTGGTCCTCCTGCCTCTGTCTCCTTACCACCGCTGGGATTACAGGCCTGTGTCACCATGCCTGGCTCTAAATTTCCACCCTCTTCATACCCCACAATGGGGACTTAAGTTTCTACACACGAGCCCTTGGGACACACACTAAACCTCAGTTGCTGTGTTAGCATGATTTAGTGTTCTGGATGTCACGGAGGGTGGGGCGGGAGAGTGGAGGATCCAGCCCTGAAGGAGTGGGAAGTCAGTTAAAGGAGGTGACTCTGAGGTGGGTTTTGAGGAGTGAATAGGAATCCACTAGCCTGTGAAATTTCTCCTTAAATTGAATTGCCTTTTAAATTTAATATATTAAAGAGAGATTTCATATCATAAATGGAAAGAGTTATCACTTATCTGAAAGAGACGATAACAAAAGCAACCACCACTGCGAAAACAAAGAGGCGGTATTAAATCCCAGCCTTCTGCTCTCCTGCTCCTTCATTTGTTAGAAAGAGAAATTAGCACTGGGTGGCTACGTGTGAAAGTCTGGGCTCCTGAGACTTTATCCTTCGGGCAGTTGTAAGGGCGTCTGACGTTCCTGGGAGGCGGAGTTGTGCCCTTCGGGGAGACAACAGGCACCAACAGCATTGTCCCGACTCGTCAGCAAATTGTCCTAGAAGAGACCTAGCAGTGAAAGGGCAGCTTCTCCTGTCCACAAGGCCCCAGCCGCCCCAGCCATCCTGCTGGCACTCTGTGAAAGCCCCTAGAAGGGCCTCGTTAGCCGAGGGAACAGCCTGCGCAAGGGCGGGAGTGTGAAATATCACGTGAGGAAAGAGCCGTAAGGAGTACAGCTGTTGGCTGTGCAGGGAGCTGGGACCAGGGCTCCGACTGCCATCCCAAGCCACCTCATCCTGTTGGTTAGTGGCTTGGAGGGAGCAAGAAACGTCACTGTGGAGGAGGCAGGCGGGCTGAGTCAGTGATCAGTCAGTGATCCTGGCTCTCCAGGAGGATGTGACCACATGGGGAAGTAGCAGGGATCCAGCTCAGGTGGAAGATTGGCATCACAGGTTCATTGGAAGAAGGGTCCCCGGGGGGCCTGGCATCCCGGCAGGTACCTAGCTACATAGGGAGACCCCGTTACCATAGGGAGACCCCATTACCATAGGGAGACCCGGTTACGTCGGGCTGCAGGGGAGAGCCTGGAGTTTTCAACAGCCGCTTCCCTCTCTGCACCCTGGTGCGGGGGAAGGCATGGAAGGACACAGCAGGGGGCTGGCTGGTGCCACCCCAGCTCTGGGGCCAGTGTGAGGAAGGGTGCTGGGAGCCCTGGGGAGGACTTGCTTTGGAAGTCACAGCTGTCTCTCCAAGGAAGTGCTGATTACTTTAACACATTCATAACATAGAGGTCTTGGGTGCCGAGCTGCGTGGAGTCTGGAGCTCAGCACACACAGCAGGTATGGGCAGTTGTAGCCCAGGAGCAGAGAGCCTGTGGATCCTGCCTATAGAGGCAAGGTGAGCTGAGGAGGCAAGGTGAGCTGAGGATAGCCCCTGGTGGCTAGGGTGGAGGGATCTCCAGGATGACCTGACCTATGCTTTCTGATCCTGGATGCTTTCCTTGTGCTTGGCTGCCTGGAGTCTGGGCCTTCTGTGCCAGAGGGCACTGAGGACTGAGACTTTGGTGTCATGGGAGTTGTGGGTACAGGTGACTGACAGCTAGTGTAAGATGATCTAAGAACTAGGCCACAGAAAGGGGGTCAGCACACCCAAATTCCTGTGTGGCCAGTCTGGAAGGGCTTCTTGGAAGAGGCCACACTTACTATGTGCTTGGCAGGCTGAGATGGAGGGAAGGGCGTTTTGCAAGGAGGGAACAGAAGCATCGAGAGAATAAAGTATTCGTGTGATTGAACGATGAAAAGGGGTACAGAGACTAGATAGTCCACACCTCTAATTCTCTCTATGGAGACATGTGGTAGACGTTATCCTTAACTTTTAGTTTAAGTAGCCGGGCGGTGGTGGTGCACACCTTTAATCCCAGTACTCGGGAGGCAGAGGCAGGTGGATCTCTGTGAGTTCCAGGCCAGCCTGGGCTACAGAGTGAGTTCCAGGAAAGGCACCAAAGCTACACAGAGAAACCCTGTCTCAAAAAGCCAACAAAACAAAAACAAAACACCCAAACAAACAAACAAAAAAAAAACAACAACAACTTTCAGTTGAAGAATCCGAAGCTCAGAGAGGTCAGGTGACTTGGCTGAGAGCACACAGCAAGATGGTGTCAGAGCTGTCACACTCACATCTGTTCAGCTCCAGAATCGGTGTCCTTCCCATTGGTCCAGGCGGTCTTGCCGTGTGCTGGACTGTCTGGTGGGAAGGCGAAAACAGGACTGGACAGGCCAATGGGAGCCAGAGGTTTATAGTGTAGCCATAATAATGGGGAACTACTGGAGGTCCCCTCAGGAGCGGAGTCACGAGGCTGGGGTGGCGTCCCAAAGTGTCACTGGAAGCCACAGAGGAGAGCTAGGCCCTTATGGTGGCAGGAGGTAGTGTTGTTGGGAGGGGAAGCAGAGGGAAATGGAACAATTAGCGTGTGCCGAGTAACAGGTGAGAACCTGTTTGTGGTGAGGCTCCATGGACGTTAGGCAGGAACACCCAAGACGGTTCTGGCTAAGCTTTATCCTGTCAGAGCAGGGCAGTTCTGTAGAGGAAATCCAAGTCAGGCAGGCCTGGCTGGGAGGCCCCGCTCAGCCCCTCCCCCATGGGAGTCTCATTCCTCAGTGGGTGAACTGACCCCGGGGGGGTCTGAGTGAGGTACTGGGGAGTGCATGGTGGTAGGCACCCGGAACCTATTTAATAAATGACATTCTAGAGCTGGGGAGATGGCTCAGTGGGCAAAGTGTTGGCCATGCAAGCCCGAGGACCTGAGTTCGGATCCCCAGCACCTGTATAAAAGCCAGGCATGGCAGTACACATCTGTGATCCCTGTGATCTTGCCACAAAGTGGGAGGTGGGGTAGAAGACTCCAGAAGCTTGCTGGCCAGCTAGCCTGGCATATCTTGTGGTGAACAACAGGAGATGCGGTCTCAAACAAGGTGGAAGGTGAGGACTCAGGCTTGTGGTTGTCTTCTGACCTCCACATGTGTGCCGTGGCATGAACAAACCTGCACTCACACACGCCAACACACACACACACACACACACACACACACACACACACACACACCACAGGTAGGATATTGGGGATTATGGGGGCACTCACGGCCTTCTTGGGTCCTCTTTGTCCTCTTGGAATCTGCCTGCCTCGGCCTCATGTACGCCTGCCGTGTTCTGGGTCTGCACATGCACACTGAATAAATGTCCCTGGCAGTGAATACCAGCTGGTCTTATCCGTCTTCGCCCCCTTCAGGGACAACTGGCTTTCCCAAGCGGGGAGATGAATTGCTGGTTACTCCTGAGGGAGGTGGGGCGGTGCATGGATGGGAAGGCTGTGGGAATAGGCCCAGCTCTGCAGCCGCAGGCTCGTTCCTTCACCAATCTGGCCCCGCTCAGGAGATTGAGAGAGGGACCCCAGATCTCAGTCTGGGAAAGCTGATTTCAAGTAGGATGGACTCTGGAAGCCACTAGTTCCTCTCTGGTTATGCTATGGCGCTGGCCAGCATATGGCTGGTGAGTTGGCTGGGGGATGTGGGGTCCACAGGGAGCAAGGCAAGCCCAGAACACACAGGTCAGATGGTCTCTGACATGACCTGCATTGTGACATGACCTGGCATTTACTGCATGCCAGACTGAGACCTAGAGATGGGCACAAGGTGTAATCAGAGCAGGACCCAGGGTGTTCTACAGCACTTAGGACCAGTTGCACAGTATCCCCGGAGTGTGGACTGGGATTGATGCGGGCCTTAAGGATAGTCCCAGTTGGGGCTGGTGTTCACAAGGCTTGGGTTGGGGGAGCCTGCACACATCTCAAAGGGCTCAAAGGGAGAGGTGGACACCGCAGACAGAAGACAGAACCAGGGGCTGGAGACACTGGCTCAGTGCTTAAGAACACCGGCTGCTCTTACAGAGGACCTGGGATTGCTTCCCAGCACCCACATGGCCGTTCACAGTTGTCTATAACTCCAGTACCCGGGGACCCAACAACCTCTCCTGGCCTCCAGGTGCACAGACATATATGCAGGCAAAACACCCCTACACATAAAAATAAATAATTGGAAAGGTGGGAATGGAACCATCTTTGATGAAAGGGACATAGGAAAGGGGGCAGCTGCTGACTAGGAGTGGCCAATAAGGAAGGCTTCTGAGATGAAAGGCTATTGGAGGTGGGGTTTGAAGGTTGAGTAGGAGTTTTCTAAGGAAAGAAGGTGAGGACCTGAGGGGAGAGGTTTGAGATGATGCGTTGAATGGGATCTGATGTGAAATGGTTCAGGAGGTCACCTAGCTGTGGAGGTGAGGCAGGCAGGGTCTGCACAGGATGAGGAGAGTGCTGGTTCTGGATTCATTAAGCTCTGAGGGGATGATTGTGGGAGAACAAGGCGCGAATGCCTGCTGTGAGAAGTGACAGGCCGGTAGACTTTTTGGGGAGGCGGCAGAGGAACCCCTGTAGGAAGGTAGGGAGGAGGCTGAGGTCAGGAAAGATCAGTGGGGCCAACGATGTTGAGGGTCAAGAGAGATGAGACCTGCAGAGTAACCCCAGGACTTAGCAGCAGCGAGGACATTGAGGACTTTGTCATGTCCGGATTCAGTAGAAAGGTGTGGGCCGCGGCGGCAGCGGCAAGACTGCAGTGGATCTCCACGGGGGAGGTGCCATTCCAGCCCGGAAGTGAGCGGCAGGTGAGAAAGTGGAGAGTCAGCTGGGGACCACTCAGCGGGACTGGATGGAAGCCCAGGGCAGCAGCTAGGGAAAGAGCAGCTAATGAGGGCGGCCAGGAGAGCCCCCTAGAACAGAGGAGGCCGGGTCAGCTACTTGCCCCGAGGAGAGGCAGCTGAGGGAATGCTCACAGGAGGGGGACAGGGAATGGATGGGGCCTTCTGGGAAGGTGGACGAGAGGTGGCCACAAGTCAGGGCTGTGTATCCCAGCTTTGCCCTTCTCTGTGAAGGAGACTGTGGCTAAAGAAGCAGGTGAGGTGGGCTTGAGGAGAGTGGATAAGGGCACGTGGGGCCACCGAGGGAAAGGAGGAAGGAATGGAGCCCACAAGGGCCTCTGGGAAGCCTGGGTGCCTAGCAGACGCAGAGCCCCAAGCCTGTCACGGGGCCAGCTGGCTTCGCTCGAGGGCCTTCAGCAGCCTGGGAGTGGGCGTGGAGAAAGTGGCTTGTCACAAGGCTCCAGGCTGGGATGGCTGAGCAGGCGTGACAGAAGAGACGGGTAAAGGGGACCGAACAGCTGCTGGCCTGGCTCCAACGTCTCTGAGGACTGCTGGAGACGGACGGGATCTTAGTTAACGTTTCGGTTGCAGTGGTTAAGAGATCATGGCCAAAATCAACTGGAGGAATAAAGGCTTTATTTCGTCTAATAGCTTGTCCATTATCTAGGGAAGTCAGGGTGGGTACTCAAGGCAGGAACTGATGCAGAGGCCATGGAACACTGCTTACTGGTGTGTTGTTACTCATGGCTTGTTCATTCTGCTTACACACACACACACACACACATTTATTTATTGAGATAGGTCTCTCTGCATATCCCTGGCTGTCTGGAGCTCATAGAGATCCTCCTGCCTCTGGATTAAAGGTGTGCACCACCATGCCCAGCTCAGCCTGCTTTCTTATACAACCCTGGGTCACTAGCTCAGTTGTGACCCCCCCATAGTGGGCCGGGCCCTCCCACTTCGATTATTCGTCAAGAAAACGCACTTCGGACTTGCCTATGGGCCCATCTGATGGAAGCATTTTCTCAATTAAGATTCCCTCTTGTGTATCTGGGAGGCCTGTGCCGAGCTGACAAAAAATGACCAGCAGAGCCTGAGGCTGTCCAAGGGCTCAAGGAGGCGTGGAGGCGACGGGGTAGCAGGGAAGCAGATGATGCCACAGTGGATGTCGTTCCTGTTGTGCTTCCTCTGGGGGACCCTCAAGGTTAGGGGTGCCAGAGGTGGGATGCTACAAGCACCGTTTGCTAGAGAAGTCAGGATCAGAGATAGGACGGGACTGCCCAGAGCTGCGGAGCCGGCTAGCGTCGCCTCCCAGGGCTCACGTTCCAGGTGAGGTCCAGTGATGCCCTTACGGTGTCCAGGCTTCCGATGGTGCAGAAGTTATGGGAAGTAGCTCAGGCCACGAGGCCGGTGAAGACGACAAGCCCTGGATGCAGTGCTGGGGGCAGTTCACACCTGGCCTGGAGGTTGTCTGGCGGTGGCCACTGGCCTGGTCAGCGTTCCCTCAGGTGCAGTGACGTGACTGAGCAGCAGGGGGCGGGGAGGAGCACAGGTCTCTCTGCGGCCCCAGTGCCTGCCTGCGTGGTGCCCACCCAGCTTTCTGAAACAGAAGAGCTCTCAGAGAGAAGGGGAGCAATTCTTTCTGGTTGGGGGGGGGGAATCACACTATGGGCTGAGCCCTATGCCTACACGCTCTTCCGTCCTCTGTCTAGTGGCCCCACTGTGGGTGTGGTCTTCCCTTGTGGATTCCTACCGTTCCCCCCCTGATCACCCAGTTTGAGGCAGTCAGCTTTGCCTTTACTGTAACAAAGGCCTGAGAGATCGGCTTATAAAGAAAAAAGGTTATCTGCTGACTTTGTGGGAAAGGTCCTTTTGGCTCAGAGCTTCGAGGTTTTGGTCTGTTTTCCTGTTGTTTTGGGGCCCTGTGGTAGGACAGCATATCAGTGTGGCAATGTGTATCAGGCCACCATCTCATGGCCAGGAATGAAAAGGAGACGAAGAAGGGACAAAGGTCTACTCATCCCTTCCTGTCCCCAGTAATCACAAGACTTTCTAAGCTCTACCCAATAATGCCACCTCCCAGTAGTGCTGAACTGAGGACTAAACCTTAAATACACGGGCCTTTGGAGGCCACTGTGGCAGGGGAAGGCTTAGGAGCTGCTGTCTACAGTAGGGCAGGCTCAAACTTCCAGGCCCAGTGGGGTTGCCAGGGCCTGGACCAGTCCTCTAGTGGGAGGAGGGCCGGGGTGGTATAGGCTTCTGCCTGAGCACACACACCCCCCCATCTCAGGTGAGCTAGGGCCTTTACATCACAGTCCATTACTGTTCTATGTTGAATGCCAAGACCATGGTTCACTCCATGCAAACCGTGACCCAAAGAGCAGGTCTGAGGTGGCCAGTTCTGGGAGGAGAAACGGCCAAGCAGCAGGCTCAGTGGGTTGTGTACTTCTTAAGTCCTTAGTCCCACCTCCCAACGGAGATGCTAGTCACATATTCCCGGGGAGAGAGTTAGGGGAAATAGGTGTGGGCATGGCTTGGCATAGCGCAGACCCCTCCTCAGAACTCAGTATGTTGACCGTTGCCCTCCCATCCCATTCGCCTGAGGCAAGAGGTGGACAAGGTGGCTATGAGTAGTCCCATGTGGCCTTCTGAGCCTCAGTTTCCTAATCTGTAAAATGGTGGTGGTGGGGCAGGGGGCACAAGGTGATGCTCTCTGTGCATCGCCTGCAGTTGGTTCCAGGCCCTCGGCCAAGGACCAGCAAGGCTGCCCTCTCTGTACCGCTGAGAGCAGCACTGAGCTGGCTTCCGCTAAAGCCGCTTGCCGCCCACCTCCGTGTTCCAGGTGAGGAGCCGGAAGAGGAACCGAAGGTGAAAACCCAGTGGCCAAGGTCTGCAGATGAGCCTGGGCTATACATGGCGCAGACAGGTAACTCGGGCCCGCCTCCCTTCCTCTGTGGCGGGGGCCCGACTGTGGCGTCTGGTGGCATGTGTGCTGGCGTGTGCCTGTCTGTGTCTATGTCCTGGAGCTCACTTATGTTGCCATGTGAAGCCTGTGGGTAGGGATGGGTTGTCTTCCAAAGAGCCTGCCACTCGGGGTTCAGGGTAGGAGGGTCCCTGTGATACCTACCCACATCTCTCTGGTCCTTCCATCCACCATGCAACTCTCTGGGAGGTGTCCCTTGCCGCCGACGCTGTCCCTCTCTCGTAGGCGACCCGGCAGCTGAGGAGTGGTCCCCGTGGAGCGTGTGTTCCCTGACGTGTGGTCAGGGTCTGCAGGTGCGGACCCGCTCCTGCGTGTCCTCCCCCTATGGGACTCTGTGCAGCGGGCCCCTTCGGGAGACCCGGCCCTGCAACAATTCAGCCACCTGCCCAGGTAGGCGTCCTCCTCCCTGCTCCATCTGCCAGCAGAGTCAGGTCCCGTCTGTGACAGGACATAAAACTTACAGCTTCCCCAAATGTTCGGTTACCCCTTTCCTTGCCTTCAACAGACTTGTTCCCCCACCCCCAACACATACCATGCCTTACCC